TATTTGTCGATCAAAAGAGAGAGGGACAAGGTGAATAGCAGGTGTGATGAGGCCACACTAGAATTGCCACAAAAGGAAGCACATTTTCACGAGTTTACTTTCTGACGCTGGGAATTATGCAGGGTACTTCGGACTAGATGCGTTCTATTAAGTCTCCCGGACAACAAGATCAAGTTGCGACAACGAGGTCAACCCATTTCTGCTAATAGGCCTAGTTTCGAGCAAACAAGACATGGCCAGGAAAGCTAGTATGGTTTCGAATTAAATACTGTCTTCACGTTCGGAGTAATTGAAATAATATGAAAATGTCTACTGGAACTTGGCGGATAATGCGAAATTGAAACCGTCTGCACATTCATTTCTGACCTGGATCTAATCGTCTTCTATATTTGGTATTTCCACTCTGTCTACAACCGAATCTACTTGGTTTTTCATCCTACCAGGATGCCATTTTTTTCATTTTATTCAGTGTCAGGTGTAAAGCTTATTTTTAATGTTGCTGACTGGTTGCTGTTGCTGTTTCTCTACCCCCAGGAATGTGCTGGTTTTCAGTACCTTTTCCATCTCCTCAACTTTGCCCATTCTACTTATTTTGCTTTCCTTTTATCCACAACCAAATGCACATCTTCTTGCTAACCACAACCTTTCTTATGCCTTAGGTGTCTCTGCCTTCTGGTCCACTCAATTTCGCCTGCTCCAATTATGTCTCTTCACCGGCCCAGACACATCTTGCCGGCTCGACTCATCTAAGTCTTACAAGGCCAGAGCATGCGCGTCTCGATCTCACTCAACAGGTCGACCACAGTTGTTCTACCAATACAAGCCTCCCCACAGGAACCAATACCATGGTTACTACAACGGCCACTGACACAACCAGCACTTCCACTTCTGCCACTGCCACGACTGTCACTGTATCCTGCGCTCTCCAGCAGAATCATCAGAGTGGTCCTAGGGTTCAGGTATGCTGCCTTACGCATGAACGCCCTTATCACACCTTTCCTCTTTATGCACTTTTAGACCTAATTTAGGAAGCCCCATTTATGGTGTAACGGTGTTACACTCCCCCGTATCCTTAGCTAGTCGTTTTTGCGGTAATAGATGAAAATAACTATCCCGTCATCTGCTTTCAACACTGTTGGATGCGGCTGCTAGGCGCAATGACGCTATATTGGCCTCCGTTCGTTCTCTAGCACTCTCTGTTCCCAAGCTGTTCGCTTATTTGTCGAAAATTGGACTAATGTCCTGCATGCTGCACAGTCATGTCGGAGTGAGAAATCATCACGCTAAAGTCCCCATTTGGTTGTACTCATGGCATCCAAGTCACATGTACGCACAGCAACAGTTGTGTGATGTCCTCTTGCTTTGCTTGTTGATTGGCTCGACGAGAAAGGCGCAGAGGCAACGCTCTGCCAGACGTTGCAGTGAACGATGCTGTTTTGGTCATGCAACACTCAACAGGCCCCCTTTGGCTTGCAAAGATTTGCCTTCAGGTGAGGTTCGACGGGGTCATCAAGAGCGCTTGAATGACGATTGCTCGCATTCCAATGAGCACTGGTCTCTTACTCTCTAGTTCGTCCTACCTATCTTTGGATCGTTGTACTAGCTCTTCTGGTCCTTTCAGAAGAAGCATTATTTCACTCCCAAACGACCTTCAAAGGACTCAGCAATCAATCAGTCATTCAATCCGACGAACGGAGCGTTGAATCCCAGAGAGAATGTATATGCTCATCCTGAGTTTTTGCATGTGCTTACATGAACTTACATGTGCACGCATATATGCATATATTTCTATTTGTATAAGTATTTAACTGCAGAGTATAGATATTGTGTAAAGTTTTGTATGTTCCTGCCCGATTGCCTAGGCTTTTGCATACACTCGCACGGGCCATGTCAGCATTTTTTGGTAATCGATTCTCTCACATGGCCGTTAACGCCTCGGCTCAAATGCCTCTGATGGTCTGTCTCCTCTTTTCCCAGTCTGGCTTTCCGGCTCCCTCTGTTTCCTCCATCTCTCTGGCTCGACCTGACCTCGCCTTAAGCAAGTCTTGCGTCCTCCCGCACCCATGTCTTCGCTTCTAGGCCCGGTCAATGCCCGAATAAATACTTTTGAACATAAACTCTGTTGATGTTGAAGCCGACGTTGATGCTAATGCTGATGCTGATGCTGATGCCTATTATGTTTATGAAGAGGTTGGCGTTGATGTTGATGTTGATGTCGTGTCCTTAGTAATCTCAATCACTTTGGTCTCTTCCATTTTATTCTCTGGGTCAAGGTACATTTCGGCAAACTGGAGATGACCTGCCTCCCCACCTGACTCAGGCAAGATTACGTCACTTGTGCCGTAGACGGGTGGCCGAGTTGGGCTGACCAAGTCAGACCAGACCAGACCAGACCAGGACAGGACAGGCCAGGCCAAGTTAGGGCAGATTAGGGCAGAGCAGGACAGAGCCGACGGAGAGGCAGGGCCAAGGCTGGCCAGACTATGCCGAGGCAGACAGGAAATGCTACCTGCTGTAGGCTCCGATACCTCATTTCCTAGAACATCTTCCACCACTGGTCTGCAGGCTTCCGCACTGCGTGGGTAGCCTTGCCTAGCCGGCGCCGATAGTGCTTTAGCCCTACGGCTAGTAATAAGCATAAGCGTACACGCACCAAATTAAAGTGGCTCAATCGCCAGTATAAGCAAGACAAGCCATTATGGACGAACTGTGTTCTGAGGTCTATCTGTCTATCTACATAGACACGTATTTTGGTATGTCATTACCCTTTCGGCTATGATGTGGATTTAGGTGCTCTTTGACCTCACGCAAATTGCTGGAAAGCACTTGGCCCGAATGTCTGCGGCCCGGGCTGCATCCTACAAGACCTGCATTCCCTGACGGTCGTCGTTGCCTCTTGTCTGCTTGTACAGTCGTCCTCCAGACTCGCACATTGGGTCGTCATGCCGATCGATTGAGCCTATGCTTCTTTCTCTCTTGCTCTATCTTTCTCTCTCTCTCTCTTGATTTGGCTCTTGCTACCTCATTCTCGCACTCTGGAGGAAGAGGTGAGCCTCTGCGAGTCTGTATAGGCTTTTATGCCTGCGGCAGTGTGCATTGGCCCGAGCCGGCCTTAGGCTAGCGCGGCTGTTTGACCTGACCGAGTCGGGTTTGCCTGACCGACTGCTGCTGAAACACACGACTGCCTATCACTCGTATGCCGGATGGCCATGTTCATCGGTCTACATCACCATTCTGCAGTTCATCCTTCCAGTCACTCTGAAGCCTCTGGACATCTGCCTTGCCTTGGCGCACTCATCTTTTCATATGTCTATCTATCTATTTTTTGTCTTTTGTCTTTACGCTTATCTGTGCATGCTTACGCCTGTTTCTCTTATTATATTTTATCTTGTTGTATACTCTTTCCTTCAAGTTGTTCTTGAGAGTTTGTATCAATGAGTACATTCTCTCTGCGCGTCTGCCTGTTCGCCTGTTTTCCAGGGTTCCTATGTATGTCCGTCTATGATGAATTTGTCTGCCTCATTTATTTTGTTTAGCTTTTCATATTTCTCATCGCTATTCATTTCCTCCCTAGGTTAACCCATCTATTTAGTTTTATCCATTTTATTTATTTATTTCGATCATTCATTCGTTTCATTCTCTTCACACGCTCTTCATAGTTATATTTATATTTTTTTATACCGTCCTGGATGCCTGATTTCGACATAGTTTCTGCCTGCCTTGCCAGATCATTCTTACATTCATCCTATCGTATATCTGTACCCTCCTTTTCGACCTTAGTCCGTCTGCCCTGCCGGCATCAGAATAGTGAAGAGGTACCATTGTGCGTCTCGTTAACATCCTTCTGCACAGCCGGCAATCTTTTCGGCGTGACCTAACATGACCTCCATTCCTGTGTCGCTTGACTACCCCTATTTCTCCAGCCAACACTACTATTGGCTCCTGGGTTTATTAGTAGACTCGTCGGGTGCAACTACACCCCTCGCCTCCAGGCGCTAAGGCATCCATTCACATGTTATGCCTTGGTGTCCATTTAGTTGACGTCCGTACTTCTCCCCTTAAGGAACAACACCAACACCTTT